ATTACCGCCGGAACGTCCTCATGATCACCATATTCTCCTTGTGCCTGGAAAACTTCCAGCGAAATCTGCAAGATACCGTATGACCCCAGATCAGCTCACATTCCACAAACAGGAAATAGCTAAATTATTGGACAATAGTTGGATCGGACCGACCTATTCGCCTATTTGCTCTCCTACGATCATGGTGGACAAACGTGATGATGGCTCCGGGGAGCGGAAGATGCGTATGGTTGTCAATTACCAGGCTCTAAATACCCTTACGATAGCCCCTCATTTTCCACTACCTCCGATTCAAGCCATTCTGGAGCTGCTGGGAGGCGCCAAGTATTTTTCCACCTTGGATCTTGAAGCAGGATTCCATCAAATACGTATGGCTAAGCAAGACCGGTGGAAGACGGCTTTCCGGTCCGTTCTCGGACTATTCGAGCACCGAGTGATGCCCTTCGGCCTTAAGGGTGCTCCCGCTACGTTTCAGGCCAATATTAATGCCTATCTACAACCTTTACTGGAACAGGGCGTTATTGCGTACCTAGATGATATACTTATCTATAGTTCCGATCTCTCTGGGCACGTTTCTCTTCTGCGACAATTCCTAAGCATTTTTCTTAGACACCAGTTCTACCCAAAGTTCCGCAAATGCAAGTTTGCAAGGCAAACAATTACATATTTGGGTTATACCATTTCTGCTGCGGGGATCAAACCTGCAGAAGATAAAATCGCAGCCATCCGGCTCTGGCCAGAGGTGCTGGAGAACGAAACGCAAGTGCGCCAGTTCCTCGGTACCATCAATAACTGTCGCATGTTCATGGGACCGGACTATGCAGACGTCGCCCGGCCGCTGGTTGATCGTACGCGTAAAGACGTCAGTTTCGAATGGATGGAACTTCACAAGCAAGCGGTGCGGCAGCTCAAACAGCGCTTAATCGACTTCACTACACTACAATTCCCTGACACCACGAAACCCTTGGAATTATACACGGACGCCTCTGGTTATGCGATCGGAGCAGTTCTGCAACAAGACGGCAAGCCCATCGGCTTCCTCAGCGAAGTCATGAACCCCACGCAACAGAGATACTCGATCTACGATCAGGAACTCTTGGCGTTGATCACGGCCCTGGACAAGTGGTCGCACTTGCTCCGTGTCTCCAAGGTAACGGCTTACACTGATCATCAATCTCTCACCCATCTCCAACGCCTCCAAGCATCGAAGCCTCTGCGCGGACGCACCGCACGCTGGTTAGACTTCCTCGCCGAGTTCCCGAATTTGCACATCACCTATGTTCAAGCAGCGCGCAATCAAGTGGCTGATGCCTTGTCTCGCCGTCCCCGTTTTCCTAACACCTGCTCGCACGACACACCACCAACACCCCTGATGCCTGCAGTAGCACAAGTGCGCGCGGCTCCTCGCTCTCGTGGTCGGCCTGCCAAGTACAGGGAGCTCGCCGGAATTCGTTCGCGACGACCCAGACGACGCAGCCTGCCGTCCGCACTTTGACCTTCGCCGCCGGAACCCAACCCAGAGGTGGAACACCCTACCCCTACAATGAAGACACCAGCTGACCCTCCTGATGTGCGTCATTGGCCGCAAGCTTACTCGAAGTGTCCTGTTTTTCGCGTTCCCTACAAAGCCGCAGCAAACCAACCAGGAGAAGCTCTGCAAATCGAGTTTTGTAATCGCCAATTTATCTTTCCCTACGTGCAGCCTTACCTGCACATCCGCGTTCATGGACTGTGGCGCATCTGCGTCCCACAATTCCCTGAGTTCCTTACTCACGTTCTGCATTCGCATCATGACCATGTCACAGCCGGTGTAGTGCACAGACACTACAATGGGGCTGGTTAGTGCTCTAGAGAGGATAGCTAGCCAGCGACCTACGAGGGGGCGCAAGACTGGAGGGAGACAGGGCCCTCTTACCAGACAAAAAAGTAAGAGAAATTGATTATTATTTTATATGCACACGTGAATTCGTGGAATTGCGTGGAGACTGGGGCTGGAGACAGCGCCGGCGCCAGGCAAACCTCCCTCCCTTAGGGACTAGGAGGCGAGCTCCCAGGAGGGTGCGAAACAGACAGCCAGATTTGATAACCTCATGATTTTGTATCCTTAATCGCAATAGCTGTAGTTTCTAGGGAATGGACTAGCGTAGGGTGCAGTGTATAGACCCGGCCCAAGGGACTGGAAGCACGTAGTCGTAGCTGCGGGCGCAGTGCACTACAGCCGGCCATCGAGGCCAGAAGAAGACCTTTGTGGCTCTCAGCAAGCACTACTACTGGCCAGGAATGCGCGCCTACACTACTGCTTGTGTTGAGTCATGTACCCACTGTCGAGCGTCAAAGTCTATTAACCAGAAACCTGCAGCCCTTCTTCAACAGTTGCTCATCCCTTCTCATCGATGGGCGCACGTGAGCCTCGACTTTATCACAGATCTTCCCCTTACAACGACAGCGCACGACTCGATCCTTGTCATGGTCGACTCCCTCAGCAAGATGGCTCATTTCGTGCCTGCAAAGAAGTCATTCACAGCAGCAGACACCGTGGAGCTTCTCGCAGACCGCCTTATCCGCTATCACGGTTTTCCAGAGGTGCTCATATTGGAACGCGACCCCCATTTCCAGTCGGATCTCTGGCAACAACTCTGTCGCCTCTTTAACATCAAACGGTGCATGTCCTCGCCCTTCCATCCCCAAAGCGACGGCCAAACTGAACGGGTTAACCGCACACTGGAGCAGACGCTTCGTACCTATATCAAATCTGACGAATGCGAGTGGGAGCGTTTGCTTCCGGCCTTGGAACTTGCCTACAACACAACAAGCCATTCATCCACTGAGCTCTCTCTCCCTTTGAGGTCATGATTGAACCCGTTGACTGCTGCGGACCTTGATATCATAGGCGCGTTTTCTCCTACGCTCACTCCTCAGATGACTAAGCTTTTCTGACAGCTCTGCGACAGAGCACAGAGTTACATCCTGAAGGCGAAATGGCAGCAGAAGTACTACGCTGACACAAAGCGCCGACCAGTGGAGTATGCGGTGGGAGACAAGGCCTGGCTCAGCAGCAAGCACCTACCGCCTTTCAACAGCTGCCCTAAGTTCGAGCCCCGTTACCGCGGACCCTTCGAAGTCATCGAACGCATAGGAACTGTCGCTTACCGTCTCGCTCTGCCTCCCACTTATGAATGCCATAACGTTTTCCACGTTTTGCAGCTAGTTCCTGTAGTGCACAGACACTACAATGGGGCTGGTTAGTGCTCTAGAGAGGATAGCTAGCCAGCGACCTACGAGGGGTCGCAAGACTGGAGGGAGACAGGGCCCTCTTACCAGACAAAAAGTAAGAGAAATTGATTATTATTTTATATGCACACGTAAATTCGTGGAATTGCATGGAGACTGGGGCTGGAGACAGCGCCGGCGCCAGGGCAAGCCTCCCTCCCTTCGGGACTAGGAGGCGAGCTCCCGGGAGGGTGCGAAACAGACAGACAGATTTGATAAACTCATGATTTTGTATCCTTAATCGCAATAGCTGTAGTTTCTAGGGAATGGACTAGCGTAGTGTGCAGTTTATAGACCTGGCCCAAGGGACTGAAAGCACGTAGTCGCAGCTGCGGGAGCAGTGCACTACAGTTCCTCACCGCCCCCGCCCTCCCGCTTTGGTTCCCTCGGCAGCCGACGCTGCCTGGCCTCCTATCCACGATGCAGCAGGCACTCCCACAGAGGAATACAAAGTCGACTATATTATGGACCAACGCGGCTCGGGATATGCAGCCCAGTACCTCGTGAAGTGGCGCGGGACCCCTGAAGATCAAGCCACATGGGAGCCAGCGCACCACCTTACAGGCTGCCCGGCTTTGCTTCGCGCTTGGCGCCGCCGCGAACGAAGACGTCTTCAGGCTCAAAACAACATTGGTCCTGCCGAGGCGTAGACGTATGTTTCCGCCACATTCCACCTCCTACAGCAAGGGCACCCTTCAATGAGCAGGTGGGAGGGAGCTCTGCGCACCGCTTGCGCTCACGACGTCAGCTTTAGAAGAGCACAGAGATTGAAAAGGCAAAAATAATGGGTTTTGGGTAAGTCTCTTCAGTCCGGCAAGGGGGGAAGTTGTAGTGCACAGACACTACAATGGGGCTGGCTAGTGTCCTAGAGACGATAGCTAGCTAGCGACTTACAAGGGTTTGCAACAATGGAGGAGGACAGCACCCTCCTAATAGGATGAAAGTAAAGACTGTCTATTAGTTCTATTGAATAGGTGAAATGTGTGGAAATTGTGTGGAGACTGGAGCTGGCGATGGCGCCGGGACCAGTGCGGGCCTCCTCCCCATAGGGCCTAGGAGGCGAGCTCCCAGAGTGGGGCGAATCGAACAGACAGATTTTGAAACACTTAGGAATTATTGTATTTCGATGGAATTAAGCTACACAGTCCGAGAAATGGGCCTACGCTAGGCGTAGTTTGTAGGCCTGTTCGAGGGGCAGGAAGCAGCGTAGTCGCAGCAGTAGGCGCTGCGCACTACAGTAGTCGCAGCAGTAGGTGCTGTGCACAACAGAGCCCGTGACGCATATGCCCCATTATCTTAAAAGGAAGCACTGCAGGCATGTTCACACTGCGTAGTCTCCATGAACTGCAGAGACATTCAGGACGGGGCTCGAGGAGGTGTTTCTTAGTTCTACAAAGTTTGCGGCCAAGAACATGCGGCAGTGTCACACCAACTCAAGAGGCCAGACCATTTCAGCCTCGTTCTACGACATCTCTGGCCTTACATATATGGCTATTGGCTTGTCTCAGCTTTTACACCTTCTACATCAATCGTACAGTCAACACTTAAGCCGTTGCTTCACAAACTTGCATTTGCTGATTGGTGTAGGATTGGTACCTGGAAAAGATACTGAGAAGCTTTAGCGGAATGCTACTTTGCCTGCCTAGGACAAAGCTGTGTAAAAGCACGGAAGCGTTAAACGCCCCAGCACCCCTAGATACGCGCTGATGTTGGCATGAAAGGCAGTTGGGGATCCCTTGATAAGAAAGGCAAAATGCCGCATCGAAATATCCTCACAATAGAACGGAAAGCCCTCTTTCACGGCCTTCCTTGACCGTGCGTAGCTGATGCGGGCTGGCTTCCATGGCTTCCATGAAGTACGGAGGACTATCACGAACAGGCTATCTTGCCACCACGAGCCACAAGAGAAAATACTTGGAGCCTATTCACCCTCTAAATGGCAGCGAAGCTGTGCCATTATGAATCTGAGCCAAAAAGAGCTTTGTACAATGGATAACTGAATTTTCTCAAATTCTGCCCAAACAATTGTTAGAACTGATGCTCGTGAGGGCGACGTGATAGCGATCTGACTGCTGATGCGTCGGAAGAGACTGCTTGTGTCCACGTGCTAGCCCGCTTCTGCCAACTGCAGCCCCTCATTAGAAACTTTGCACAGGGAGGGGCAGCGCGCTGTTTCTCTCCTTTGACACGCCCGGAATCTACGAAGGGCGACACGATGCACTCCGGTAGAGCTATCCAACTAACATGTGGCGTTGTCTTCAGTTGGGAAAATCTTCCATGGTGTTGAACCCTGCAGCTAGTGCACACATCTGTTTGCATCTCAACACTTTGCCAGTGTTTACCTCCCAACGTGTTCGCCCGTAGCCCTCTAGATTATAAGTACTGCTCTCCTTAGGTTCACCTGGTGTAGGTCTCTCTCTTTCACATGGGCTCGTCGTAGGCCTTCTAGTGGCTATATCTGATTTCGCAGCACATCTTGCACTTGTTTCCAAATATCCTTGTCCATTGCTTCATTGTGCGACACACTTTCTTGCTTAGTGTCCCCGCCATTTACAGTCAAAACAAGCTAATGCCTTCTCTAGGGCTTCCTTCCTATTAAGCATCCTATTCCTTCGATGCTCGTGCCGTTGCGTCTGCTGCTCGCACTCTTAGCAGCCTTGAAAGCTCGCAGAACTTCATCGTACTTCCCTTTTTTGTTGAGTCGAGACTGCACGTGCCAGAGATTGTTTTCGTTGTCTCCTCTGAAGCTAATTGCTTTACTGCTTCTAATGTTTCCAATGCTTTACCTGAGTTCATGGGGTTTTTGGCGTAGAAGGAGCCATGCAACACAACTGTTCTCATGGTTACACATGCTCAATGCGTCTTTAATCGATTCTGGCCAGCCCTTCTGGCATTTTCGCTGGGAAGAATGTACAGGACCCACTGTGGAACATTTGCTTCACGAACCGCCAGTTGCCCAAGTGTATTGTGTTCTCGGGATGCATCCGCTGCAGTAGGGCAGAACCTGTGGCCCGACTCAACACTCTAGAATGTCAAAAGACCTCCGGAAGGCCTATTGAGGTGCTCATGATGCTTTCGTCCTCTTGTTCCAGAGAGTCGTTGCGGAAACATGCCCTCTTGAAATGCTGTTGCTTCATGACTCAGCTGTACAAACTTGCCAACCGCGCCACCAGCCTGTGAAACTGGAGATACAACCGTGTGATCTCTTGCACCACGCAACGATTGCGGCTCCTTCATTTCAGTCCCCAATTATCTAAATTTTTCGCTTTGGCAAATAGTACTCGGTGCTTCCCGTTTGGGTAATTCCGGTTTAGATGATTCGGGTACCCATATTGCCGGACCTCTACAGAGGAGCAAACCCCGTTTTAACGAGACGCGCCACTCCCAAGCTCCAACAGTTTGCTCCATATCTGAACGTGGTCTGTGGCTGTTGAGATCGTAGGAAGCTCTTGTTCCGAAATGGCTGAAATCTGTAATGCTTCAAGCGTGGCGTAGCGTCCAGAGGTTTCCCAGTGGGCAACCTACTTCCTGGTGTTACGCCCAACTGCTCAACTACCCAACTACCCCATCAATGAAACTGAACCGTCACATTTAGAAAAGCAAAAAGCTCTAAACAAATCTTAACCAGCTGTTTTCCCTGTGCCTGTCGCTGCAGCGAGTTCAGGGTTTCTCCACAGTGCAGTCTCGCCGCTTGCGTGGCTTTGCAGCAGAGCGGCGGGAGCCTACCAGCCTCACTACCCCGCTTATTTTTGCCTATTGTTGCTTTCTAATAGGTTTAACATGTTTTGGCTACTCTCTCAACCTCACAAGACGAAGTTCTTGGCCTACCATCGAAAATTGCTGATGTGAACAAAAATTCCAAATTTCAACGCAAATTGTTAGCATTAAAGGCATTGATTTACCACCAAAAAAGCGTTGTAGGCTTTCAATTGCCTAGGGAGCCAACGTAGAGAGATATGATCATGTTAGTAGTAAGTCTAGCAAAGCTTTACACTAGCATAACCGTATCGCGTAGTAGGACGCTCCAAGTATATTAGGATCAAGGCATGGAAGCACTGATACCAAAAACAAATTTTTCTGGATTTGGGGCGGGCCTCTTTTGTGGGCATGCGCTGACCACGAGCTCCGTTGGTGGCTGCTGTTGGACTATTTTCCGCCCAAACCGTACTCCCGACTTCCCCTGCGAGTGGCGCGTGTGTTGGAGTGTGGTTAACGAGCCGCTACAGGCACTAGGCTGTTTCTCCAGAGGCTACCTTTAGAGGTGTTTTTCTTGGCAAGCCGGAAAATCTGTGTACTGTCAGTCAAAATGATTGTCCAGGAGGCTAAAAGGTAGTGGAGTCGCAGACAGCTTGCTCGGCGGGCCATAACAGAACAGACGAGAAACTCGTCTAAGATATGATATGGTTATTCAACGAATAATACAATTCATTCAAAAACGAGAGACTGCGGAAGTAATTTGCCTACCGCTGGCCAGCCTAACTTGGATCGTTCAGGTACTGACTGGGATCTCACACTGCAGAAGCTTGGGGCATAGGTAATTAATTTCCTTAGTTTTTTCCCACAAACAAAACATAAAATCGCTTTGTCTTTTTATATGGGAGAGGATGCTACTTCGTGTGATGCTTTGTGTTTACATTTGTCATTTATGTAGCTCCACTCGACTCCTGGTGAGGTAATGGGACCCAAAGCAGGCTCAGGTTGACCAAAGTTTTCCTAGCTTTCCAACATTTGTTACCTGAGGGCATCACTTCATGGACAATTAATACATTGCGAAGAGCACTTGATTCTAAGAAGCGGCGTCAAAGCAGCAATAAGCACACTTCACCGTGGACGGTGCCAGCCGCCCGTTCCCAAGTGTGCTCCATACGCAGACTACAGCAACTGCTCGGAAGAAAGAGTGTGCGAGCTCACAAATTGCAAATCCCGCCCGTTCCTGTCAGTTAGCTGTTTACATTGTAGAAATCATACCTGGCGCTCAAGGTATTCACGATCAAGTGCTGTTAGGGGCTTTTTCGTCGATCGTACGCCGTCGTGGACAGCAGTGTCCATGCAGCTTGTTCGTCTCCAGAGCTCCCTCCCACAGCAAATACGTCCTCTTCCTTTAGAAAAACATAGTTCCATTCCGGAAGGCTTCTCTTGTCATTCTTTAATCATACTTGAGAATCACCTTTTTCACGAACGCATCCAGGAGTCGCCAAGATGAGCGGGCTCTGCGCTCGACGTCTTTTCCGCAACGGGGGCTGCGCTCTTCTCGCTGCTTTCTTCATAGTTCAGCAGCCCGATGGTGGAGAATCTGTTTTCAATGACCTCACAGGGGCATCAGTAGAGTTGCCAGTACAGCCAACCCCACCGCAGCCACCGCTGCAGGGCGGGGCCTCGCCCTTTCCACAGCAACTGCTTGGCAAACACAGCTTCGTCCCACAAGCGGAAGGAACCACAACGACTGCAGGCCCTTCGCTCCCAACGCAGCAACCTGGGACGGCAGGATACGCGTCTGCATTCACTCAGTTCCTCGGCACTGCAACCCCTGCGGTGCCACCGACTCAACCACAGGCTCCAGCGGTACCAGCAGGGTTGCCGAGTCTTTACCAACCGCCGTTTTTGGACTTTTACGGCAGTCCAACAGCAAGTGCAGTAGGGGCAGTAGCGACAGCAGGAAACGCAGCAGGTTCGGCTGGAGGCGCAGCAGGACTAGCAGGTGGAAGCTGGCCCCCATTTGGTAGCCGCGCGCAGAATGCGCTTGCAGCAGGCTTGCCTGTACATACAGCAGAAGTGGGAGATGTGACGGGTGCAGCACCGGTGACAGACACCAGCGTTCCAGTTGGATTTCTTTCGAGTGCCAATGGCGTGTATAAAGTTCCTCGCTTTCCTTCTGGCGTCCAGTCTGTTAGTGAACCGAACGAGGAGGCAATTAAGAAGTGCATATTGCGAATCTCGGCGTCGCAGATGACGAGTGGATTCAGTGATACTTTGAAGTCTGGGGGTGTTCAGATAACAGGTAGTGCATACTCCCAGTTGCTGCGCCTAGTGGGCACCAGCTCGCCTCGCTACACTTCCAAATTGAGCGCCCCCATAGTGTTATTCCAGAGGGCCGTAGGGACACGAATCAGTTACGAGATTAGGGTGGCTGTTCCTCAGGGCTGTGTCCTACTTCCCAGCGACCCAAATTTGATGGGTCTGATCAGAAGAGAGGGCAAATATATTGTTGAAGCGGCGATACGGCTCCAACCCGACATGCTCGCGGAGTACACGTCCTCTGTGGCGGCAGTTCCAGCTGATGTCGTGGCGTTTGCGGCAGCGCTTGCTCCCAATTCGAATTTTCAGCCGTTGGGGCATTGCGTATATGTGGCTCATTTTACAACCAAGCCCGAGAATATCCAGCTATTTGCGTCGTATACTCAAGTCAAGGTTGTCGGTGTTACAGCGATGGGCATGGAAACGCTACAGCTGCAGATTCCCCTATCTTGTTTGCCGCAATCGCTGCACCGTACCGCATTGTGGTCCGTTGGACTGCACTCTGGGACTGCAGTAATTGTTGCTTTCAGCCCGCCGCCCAAGGCCGAGCCTGAGTGGTTTGTTGTGCGGACAACTGGTGACGAAGCAGCCTTCAGTCGCCTTACAGGATCACGTCCCTGATGAATGCAGATTCGAGAATGGCTGCAAATGTCTCAGACATACTGTGGAGTTATCCGGGTCATAAGACATCATGAAGATGGTAGCGAGGTGCTGTGTAAGGCCCAACGGGACTTTGACGGATGGAAGCTGACGTTTACAGCGGTCACTGCGATGCAACTGCTGTAACAGTGCCGTACAGATGTTGATGCTTCGCATGAGTACACGATGACGTAGATGTCTGCCGGTGCTGCCTGTCAAGGCCAGCGCCCAGCATGTGTGCGTGTATGCATGTTTGTCCGTCCGGTCACACGCACCTGCGCAACTGCATGGCACTTGACGTGAAGTTTTCACACGTCTGTGCTTTTCCGTTTCCCATGCATAAGTGCACATGCGTTTGCAGCTGTCATGGAGGCCGGATACACCTGCGTACACGTGCCAGATGCACATGTGAGTGTTAGAGTATTCGTGCAAGGGCGCTGGTGCATCGCGCACATCAATTCATCACACATATGCATGCAACATGCAACATACGTGTTCATCTACATGTTCATCTGCAAACAGAGATTTTCACGTATTTGCATCTGCACGTGTGGATGTACTCACGAGTAGCGATTGTGGGAGCATACCTGCACTGTGAAAACTGTTTAGTGGCAATCCTTAGCCATTTTCGCATTTTTCAAGACATAACGGTACTATAGATGCCGTCGCTTGCGCAGTGTGATAAACAGAAGGTTCACTGAAAACACGTTGGAATGCTTTGCGGACAGATCTAACGGCAGCTGTAGTAATAGTGAGAAGGATGGCATGGCATGAAAATATAGCAGGGCATGTTCTAGGCACCATCGTATAGTGACGTATAGTGAAGGAGATGGGCAGGTAGAAGAATGCAGACACGCGATGCGAGGTCTGCACTGCCTACGCGTAAACTCGTCGCTCTATTTGGGGACGCATGAGTTATCAAAGTGACCTGTGGGGTCCCAGTACTCGAGTGCCTGTTTTGTCAGGATGGGCATTCGTTCACAGGTTGGGTGGTGTATAGATTGAAGGATAGACCGTAGGAAAGAAAACTTGGAGGGAGGATGGTAGTTACTACCTGCGGTGATTAGGCTCAGTAACATAAAAGCAGGCGGGACGTGGAGTCATGTCGTTCGGAGTTGGCACGCTAATGGGGAGAATGGGATAGCACGCTTCTATGTGAATATGGATCTCTTCACTTGGTGGGGGGTGGCAGTGACCTCGCTCCATAGGGCACATTAGCGGGACTCTGATGCAGTGCCTTACTTTAGACCGAATCTTCCTTAAAGAATTGCTGACGGTGCTCAGAAGCATCTATTGGAGTACACCAGGGAGCAAGGCGAGAGGAGCAGCTATCGCAGCGTATGTCACATTTTCAACACCGAATCTTAGACGGTAGGATCTATTCACAGTCCACGAGAAGTTTTGCCACTGCAAGATGCTTCGGTTTCTCAAGCGTTCTTTATTCGCGCTCTCATTGGCGTGCCCACCTAGATACTGTTGAGCTTCTTAATATTTTGCATAATATTTTGGTAATAAATATTGGGCGGAATAGAACGGCTAAGCATTCGCTCGAATATTAAAGTTTATGCGGTTCTCTCGTTCGCATCGCCACAGCTGCAGCCCCCACGGAGTCAATGAACGAGGCTGATTAATTACAGCACGTGCGGGTTTTTCATGAGCAGCTTTACCGAAGTACACATATGTAGCCAAGACTAAATGATTTTGAGTCGCCGGAAGCCCCTCCTCTACATGTCCGACAAAAGCAAAACACCGAAAACTAAGGGGCCGCAGCATATCAGCCTCATGTGATATGCAGCCTGGAGGGCGTAGGTTTTTATCACATTCATGCTCCTCTCTCGTCAAAATTAGCATTTCGTGTTAATCTTCCGTCACGTAGGCCTCTGCAAGTGGTGATGTGGGCCCCTGTGGCATGCCGATATTGCAACAGGACCCAATTGGCGAGCTTGCCATAACGAGAACAAGGAAGCGGGATATTGGGGCGTATTTTGATCCATCCCTCCCGATAGGACCACCTGCCCCGATATTACCCCCACAAAGGATCATATTTCTTCCGGTTATCCAGTTGTCCGATGCCCACAAAAGAAGAGGGGGGGCCCGTGTTTGGGCACGAGGAGGGAGGCCAGGCTCACTCTGCCCAGAGTGCTGGTATGGCCGTTGTTCAATGCGACAGCAGCAGCAATGCCAGCGGGAATAGTAGCAGCAGCAGCAATGCAAGCGGGAATAGCAGCAACAGCAGTTCTGCGCGCGATGGAGAAACGCAAGCCAACGCGAAACGTGGCATCACTGGTTGCGCGAGTGAACCTGTGCTCTGGCGCTCTGCAGTTCAACATCAAGGCCGTCAGAAGCAGCAAGAGAGACATAAGGAGGCACAGGAACACCAGCTGCTCGACTCCGACGGAAAGCAACGACCCCGACGCCGCAGCAGCAGCTGCCAATCTACCCGTCTGGAGGCACCAGATGAGACTGTCGCCCTAAGGGAGGCCTGCGCCAGTGATGCTCCTTTAGTTAGAGCATTGATGAAGTCACACTTACGATCTCTGATTCTCCCAGCCGTATTTTACTGGCTATGCCGCCATGCGCAGGACTTCGGGAGCTTTTTGGTCATTTGTTGTTGCTTTGTACACCTCGACAAAATGCTTATCAGTCTCTGCTGTTTCTTGATGCTGCTCTTAATTCGAGTCGTGCTGGAATTAGAGCAATATGCGGCACGAGGGTGCCCTGACTTGGCAGAGTTTGACCGTCACTATTTGCAAGCGGAGCGGAACAGATTCTGGGTAGCTGAGGTGAGAAACAAGTGGAAGTCCACATTTCAAGCTCGTACAGAGTCGCTCCTATTAAGTTGTATCTATGCTGGTAGCTGGTGATGACGTATCAAGCAGTGTAGGTGTGCTGGTCTTTACCTAGAGATGGGCACAGATGAAGGTGACAGCGGGGAAATCGCTTGAGACTGGTGAAAGTTTCCCCATTATCACAGTCTCCAGATGCTGAGGGGATGAAAGGCAGTCATTTGCGACATTTCGTTATTTTGGGGTGGGGAAAGTATTCCGCTGATGCAGGACAACGGGAAGTATTTTGGGGTTTCCTTCATGGGGAAGTAAATAGTCGTGCCAAGGGCGTGAACGCACGCATATTTCCTTAACTTCTGTGCACTCGCAGCATGTGGACACACAGGAACTTCGAGAAATGTGTGTGTGTGTGTGTGCGTGTGTTTGTGTGTGCGTGCGTGTCTCTCCAGAAAAAGCATCCGGCTGGCACTCAAATTGTCGGCTGCATCGGGTTCATCATTCATCCGTCCAATCTGCAAGAGGGGCAGCTGGTGAGGAACTCAAATAGAATGGCAGGCTAGAAACTACGTACTCGAAGGGAAAGCCAGATCCCCAGAGGGACAGCAGCCGGAGAGACAGATACGTGAGGCCGGCAGATAGGAACAGGAAGAGGCATAAAGGCAGCAGCGAATATGCAATTTCACTTTGGAGTCTTTTTAGTCCGAGGGGAAAGAATTCATTTTCCTTGTGTTAGAAATGTATCTACTTGCTAATTGGGTTCTTCTTCTACGAGCTCAGCCCGAATTTCTAAATGTAGCCTTTTGATGCTCAAATGAGAGCTCGTGAGCCACGAATGCTTTTGTGTTTATCGAGAATTTAATGCCCACAGAAAACATTGCTGGGAATACCGTAAGGTTGTTTCCGATTCATTTGATACCATGCAAACCCTTCATGGAGAAGTCGGGGCTCTGTACGTGTGTGGCATCGATGTCTTGCAGGTGCGTCTCGTTGTTTCTCCGGGGTCACGAGGTGCTGGTGTGGGCTCTCGACTATTATCTTCGGCGGTGGGCTTTGCCGCAAGCTGTCGCTGTCGTTCTATCGAAGTCTTTGCAAATTCTTTGAATGCTAGCAGCGCCAGCTTCTTCAGAAATAGACAGTTCGAACTCGTCCAGGTCGTCAGGAGGAATCTCATGAGAGGTGAGCCCCCAGTTAATCTTCATTCATCTCACCACTCATCTGCACGGCATCGCGTATGTTTGTTTTTATGGTGATGCTGGTGCCTTCTCCACGCTATCCGTAGCTCTGTGGCTTTTGGCATAGCTTTTCATGACCCTGGCAAAGCTCTTTGTCAAGGGAACGCTCCTAAAAGGGTTGCTCAAGCTCCTTGCGAGCACAAAAGATGGTCCAGATCTGCTGTCGCCAACTTGTACATGCCCTGATGCCTGACTTTCCGTCCTTAACTGTATTCTTCTCGTTTTGTAACGCATTTGCATTTGTGTGAATTTGGTTGTTTTTCTGTGCCAAATTTTATTTCCAAGTGTATTTTGTACTCCGAGTGTTCGCGGCTGGATGTACAGTTCACCACTTGTGTGTGTTCAGGCGACCTTCTTCGGTGGAGGATGACCCTTGATTGCGATGGGCGAACGGTTGAGCCAAAGACGGACACTTCGTCTATTGATGATTTGCAGTCTGAATAGCTATGTTGCTCAACTTGCGATGCTAGCGGTGCATGTGTCAGTGTAAAGTGCGGATCATGAGACTGGAGAGCAAACATTACGTGAAGTCCGTGAACTCACAGCGGTTGTGTCTTGAAATTTCCAGGGAGATTCCCTGGGAATCATTGCCAGCCCACCACTGCCGAAACTGCTGAAGCAGTTTGCCTGCGGCTGTGGGTCGCGCATCAGCAGCTTCTGTTGTTTCTGCATGCATAGGGGGACATGACCAGGAAGGCCTCTTGGAGCTAGGAGTAGGCCTTGCCTTTTTTTTTGCGGCGGAGACGAGTGTTACCGCTGCAGCTTTTGCTCGCTATTTGCTCTGGAGCGTTCCAGAATTGGTAGTACGTGGCAGTACGTGGACACGCCGCCCCGGAGGAGTCCCCTCGAGGCCATCAGGCACATGAGAAGAATGGGTGAAGGTTCACGTGGCAGGAGCTACCCCATGAGCTGCTTGGATTGGAAAAAGCGTATCCACCCGAGGAAAGGTTTGCATGACAAATGCTAATGGCTTCTCGCGTGCTGCTGCAACACCGAGAACAATGCACGCGAGGGGAGGCTTTTGTCCTGGTTATTCGCTGCATCGAATCATGCAATGCGCGCAATCCATACGCATCTCTGTTATCTGTGTCGAATATTCATGTGCATTTGGGCAGTTGTGTTCTTGATGTGCATGCACGTGTATGTTTGTATTTGTGAACATGCATAAAGAGCAATCTACGTGCACATGTGCATGTGCACGTGTGCGTATTCTCTGCTTTTACACGTATGCCAACGGTTGTGCTTCCATTTGTACAGAAACATTCACGTTCATAGCTGCAATATCATCCTGTGCATCTGTGTCGCCCCCGTCGTCCCCTGAAAACGCTCCTGCAGCAACGGCGCAACGGTTGGAATCGTTGCAGCCAAGGGGGGCTGTCCTTCGCAATGTGGCGTATAGACTGCTTACAAACGCTGCAGATGCATATTTTTTAAAGTTCATTAGTAGTATATCATCGCATTTTAATGCATAAATGTAACATGCCTGCGAGGACGGCAAAACTAAAGGTTGGAATTCACTGAAGGAAGTAGTTCCCAACGCATAGGTCTCGCCACTGGCTTTCCCAGCTATCTTTGCAATATCGGGATAAAGGACCTCCAGGTGAACATTTACGTTAAGGCTGATAAGGTAGTTGTTGCTAATAGGCTCAGCTAGCCACTGCGACTCACCGGTATTCAACGCGAAACTGGTCTTTACATGCGTTAGCTCGAAGAATGGTAGAGTCGTCTATTCTACTTGTCTGCACTCTTGCGATCATGGAACGTTTATCGTACCTACAGGCAAGACAGGCCCAGAGGATACAAAAGGAAGACAGTAAAGCAAGCCTCGGCTCATTGTAGTGGGCCTCTAGGGAAGAGACAGTCATTTGAGAAATCAGTCTACTATGTCTTTGCCACCGCCACCACGAAGAGCGAGCGTAACTAAACCAGCTTTTGCAAATGTGTGAGCTGTATTGCTGCCAACTAGCGATTTTTGAAGCTCACAGCTATGTACAGGCGCAAACAGCAACGAGTGAACGAGAAGTTCACAGCTATGCACGGGCGTAAACAGCAGCCAGTGAACAGGTGAAGTGCATGCGAGAAGAACAAAATATGGCGCAGGTCACGTATATCTTTTCCGGACCAACTTAAAGGCCTAGTTGGTGGGAGCATTAGGGCCAATATACCTGAAAGCGGTTAAAGAGCTTTACCTTTGTCAAAGGCGAAAATGACGCGCAAGGATTTCTAATAGACAAAATAGTGGAGTACGTCTTTTAAATGAGATCCTTAGAGGGCAAGGGAGCACGGTTCTACTACTCCTACGATGAAAAGACGCGTCCACTAGGCGGATCTGTCGTGCTCTTCACAATCCGTATCAGTTTTGCAGGAGACGTTCGTGCGTAAAAGGCTCAAGATTCAGGACTCTGTGATTTTTGCTGCAAGTTTGCAACGATTCTCTCCAAGCAACGTTTTTTCCGTTCGATTTCGTGTACATTTACTAATGCCAGGTAAGTCCCAAACGTTTTCTATTACGGCGAAATTCTGCTCTAACTGTCCATAGGAAGTCTTCGGTGAGGGTTCGTATCTTGCGCTTTTATTCTTTGCATTGGGCTTAGCGTGCAACAGACCTTTGACTTCACCGTGTAGTGCTCAGCCCTCCTATGATGCTGGGCAATGGTTAGAAAGTGGCGAGATAAATGAACGAAGAAGAATCAAGTAACATACAGAAAGCCTGCTTGTGTTGTGCCGTGCTGCACAGTTCGTGCCTCACTCTTCCAGACTCCTTCTGCTGGGGCTCGCCACACTCTTAGGATTGCGCCCCAAAAGAATTCGGAGAAGCAGCGCCTGTGGCGAGCTGCGCATCTTCTCTGCGTCGCGGGAAGTGCCTCAGGCTTTGCGGGCGTCCTTCAAATTGAAGGGCATACGCCTAGCAATTCAGCGTTTCTGGACGTCGAGTTTGGAAGCCCTTAGAACGCCAGCCATTCAACTTATGTAAACTCCCGCGGCAGGGCAAACATAGGCGTAATCACGTGTTGAGGAGCACCTCACATATCTTAAGGCATTTCCCGCTTCGCGTTGTACACGAGCTAGCTTCCAGCAAAGATATTTGCGCTCTCGCGTCGCGCTTCCACAAGCATTTTTGCATATGTCTCTATGTAGTGTACTACAGGTTGTGCGGGTGTTTATCGCAGATTACAGTGTCAACAGTGGTCCTGCCAGCTGGTCCTAACGGTGTGACACGCGAATTATTGTAGTGAAGGCTGACCTGTGGCTGTCGAAGATATCCTCCAGCGCAGCAAGGTCGGGTTACCCCCGACCTTTGTACTGCTCGAGTGCGCTGAAGCGCCGTTTGCATTATCTCATATCAAGTGTCCTTTTTCAAAGGATAAGACGCTAGCCTTTATTTACTGATTTTGGCGGTTTTTTTTTCGGAGCAGCCTGCAATTAGGGTCCCGCCAGCATAGCAAGCGCCGAACCCACGAATGACTTCCCAAAGATTGGCACTAGCGGCAGTGATCCCCCCCAGCTCCAAACTTCACAAAAACAGGTTTCACAGTACCTCTGAAAGGCGGCGAATAGCAAAGTTCACAACTTCAACTATGATGGCCGTACCGTCAGACCCCAGTGATTCTTCTCTAGGCGCTGCAGTTTGGTGCCTACCGCAGCTACCATGCACCACGAGCATCTGCAATGAACGGGTGCTCAGCAAACTTCGACGGGACCATTAGGGTTCCAGGAGCCACTAGATGTGTATTCCGACTGCTCATTGCTGAATGACAGGCGCCTAAGGCTAAAAAACTGAAAAACGGCAGCCCTACGTCGAAAACGGTAGGCAAAAACTGGGTTTAAAAGAGGTTCCAGAGAAACAGATGGGGAGTGCAACCAGCGAATGACTTGCGAAATCCCCGATACGTCGGCTCTTACTAGGGAGTTTTGCAGGAATGCGCCTTGATGCAGCAATGCACAAGAAACTGGAGCTTTTTCATGTCCCAACATTACTGTTAGGAGTGCAGTCCAGTATCATCTTCGTTGTTTGCACTCTGAGTGCACGTCCCTGGGTTTTCAACACCTACATCTCACCGTGGGAGGCCCCCGTCAGTGTATTATAAAATTGCCTCTATGCGAAGGCCTCTGGCCTCCTGTCGATTTGTTCAGTGATGCACGTGCCAGTCTCTACAGGATATGATCAAGAAGCATCGCCTCGAGGGTCTGCTAATGGCGCACCGCTCAACAGTCAAGTTCGCGCTCGCGCTGAAAAGGCGTTGCTAGGACACAGTGGTCAAATATCACGAATGCGTAAACTTTTCCAATAGCTGAGGTATTGCAGTCTCCTGTTCCTCCGTAAATGCAGCAAGCCGCTAGATCCAAGATTCTTGCTCAGAAAACTGTTTCTCACCCATAGAAGTGATGGCGAAATCAATTCCAGATGACGGAGTAGCTGCAGTTAAAAGTGGCGGGCTTTGTTCGTCGGTTTCCTTCCGCCACAAGGCCGGAGGCAAAAGCCATTACTCAGATTGCACAGGACCCTGGAAGCTACGGGTTCTGCATGGCGAAATCACTGCTCTCTTACAGATACAGTGACCTGGCTTAAGTTATCCCCGAGAAGATTAGAATGCGCCACCCAACGAATTCGGAAGCGTTTCCACTTTATTCGGCGCAGGACTCTCTTGCTGCTGACTGATGACCTGCATTAACCAAGGCGCTCTATAGGGACCGTCAAACATTTGATAAAAGCTAGTCGTGGCAACAAGCCAAGGAAGATGTAAGGGGTCTATCTCTGATTTCGTGCTCACAAGTCACGGTAGCCCTTGTAATGCCGAGTGTTCATGGCTCGCTTGTAACTGCTCGCAGAAAGTAAGCACCAGGCACAGTACGTGACACTGTCTCTAAGCATCTTTAAAACATCCCAGAGTCCAGCAAAGAAGACAATAAACTCAAAAACAATAATTTTATTCGCTTTGCTGTGCTAATTGGCACTTGGGTAAAATAAATATGCCCTCTGCTTGCACTTTCTAGCATTCCAGAAATTGTAGTGCACAGGCACCAAAATAGGGCTTGCTGGTGACCTACAGAAGATAGCTAGCCGGTGACCTACAAGAGGTCATAACACGGTACGAAGACAGGACCCTCTTACTAGCATCGAAGTAAGCCAGTTTGTCGGCGAATTAGGGTGTATACACTAGACGTGCCTGAAAGTACCTGGAGATTGGGGCTTCGATAGAACCGGCTCAGATGCAGGCCTCCTCCCCATAGGGCGTAGGAGGCGAGAACCCCGAGTGGGGGGGATTTTCAAGAGAACATATTTTGAAAAAACTATAAATAAACGTATGGGAGTAGAAATACTACGTTTCAATGAATCACACCTAGATATCTTCGCTCGATAACGGGTGCATCTCCGCAAGGGACGCGTTATCGGCCGCACTCACCAGGAGACTTCTACAATGTCAGTAAGCAAAATGCCGAGCTGGACACCGGCCCATCATGGTCATGCTATCCCGAAGCCCACCGTGGCAAAGCGGCCGCATGCGCATAAGGAGGCGCCCCTACAGGTGATGACCGGGGGATCGAGCGTAACGTTTCCCGTGCTACCAGAAGACGGCAGCACTATGCAGGCCTTTCTGCTGCGCATCGAGCACCGGTACACCCAGATGGGATTGGAACCGCGCGAGTGGGGGGATGCACTTATAGACCACCTTGTGGGCCCGGCTCCAACGTATTGGATGTATCTATGACGAACTATCGACCTAAGCGACTGGGCGACAGTACAGCGCAGGCTTTTGTGGCGCTTCGACAAAACAATGTCGGAGAGTCAATTGCTAAAGGAGTTGGCTAAAGTACGGTGGAATAGTAACCCGAAGGAATACACGGGCCGGTTTGCGGCTGTAGCGGAGCGTGGGTTGGGTCTTGCCCCTGACGAACTCGCGGACTATTACTGCACCGAGCTACCGACAGACCTCCATCTTCTAATAACCAATAACGGACAGGTGAAATATCAGTCGTGGGAACAAGCGGCGACAGCCGCAACACGCCTCTATGAGCCCAAGCAGAGTGTGCTGGAAGTCCGAGAAAGGGCCAGTCGAGCCATTAGGGTTGCCATCCAAGCTAATGGACCCCGTCGGCGCCAGGAAATCGGAAATCGACCGGGGGGAACCCACACGAACGACTATGAGTGTCAGGGTCGCGGACATCCGGCACGTGTCTGCCCCAGCAGGGGAGAACGCACCAAACGTCCGGGGGAAATATGCAAGAAGTGTGGCGGTGTGGGACACTATGCTCGGGACTGTCCTACGTACGAACGAGGCCGGATCGAGCCGGAGGA